CTGTCCTACCGATTTGATTTGAAACTGTCTCATTGCTACTTGTTTATCAATAAAATTATGGCAAAAAAAAAAAAAAAAAGAAGAGCATGGAACAAAGTACTTTAAGTCTTGCAAGAAAACAAATTCCAACCCAGACTGATCTATCCTGCAAAACTCTCTTCCAAATAAAATCCAGGAGATAAAATTTCATGTTCAAGGCTGGCCTTCAACTGTAGGACATTCTCCTGCCTCAACCTCCCGAGTGTGGGGATTACAAGCGTGTACCACCAGGACCACTGCAACTTTTAAAATGTGAAACATATATTCCTCAATCAGAGGAACGAGTAGTGCTCATTACAGAATGCTGAGACCTGAATAATAGCAAAGGACACCACCCGTGAGGCATGTGGCGCAAGGGGATGATGCTTGGGTGGGTATTTACGGCTTAGGAACTTACACTGGGGAGAATTTGGAGGTGGGTCAGGGATCTATATCCACTGAGAACTGAGGAAATGCCCTGAGACAACCGACTTCAGGGATGCCCGGGGCTTGTGTAAGACAGGAAAGCAGGGGACGCCAGTCTCACAGACAGGCCGGAAACACTGAACATCAGCTCTTTACACATTGAAACTTCCTGGGGACAACTTTTTTTTTTTTTTTTTTTGAGGAGGGGGGTACTGGAATTAGACTCATGACCTTGCACTTGCCAGGCCAGTGCTGTGCCACTGAGCTGTATCCTTGCTCCCTAGGTGCAGATTTAAAAAAAAAAAAAAATTCTTCACCTCTAACTTTTAGCAGAGAGCTTGTAGAAGGTGCTCAGTGCAATTGTCAGATGAATAAACCTAGCCCAAATTATGTCATTGCGTCAGAGAATGTGGAGGCAGAAAACTGGTGGCAGTGGGATGAAAAAGAGTAAAATCCTTTTCCTAGAAAAAAAGGATTATTAGAAAGCAAACTCAGGACTTTGTTTTGTTCTACGACTGAATTAAAACTCCAGTCCTACAGTCTTTAAGCTTTATGGTAGGAAAACAATAGGTAATGCTATAACTGAAAACTTTTAGTAGCACTGTAGCTGGATGTGATGGTACACACCTATAACCCCAGCAGTATGGGAGGGAGGCTGAGGCAGGATTCCATGGCGGTATCTTTTGTTTGTTTTTGGCGGGGGCTGGGTACTGGGAATCAAACTCCAAACATTGCACTTGCAGGCAGGTGCTGTGCTGCTGAGCTAAACCCTCAGCCCATTACCTGGGCCCTGGAACTGTGTGGTGGTGCACACCAGTAATCTCAGTGCTGGGGAAGCAGAAACAGAAGGATCACTACAGGTTTGAACTGTGTAGTCAGACTCTGTAACAAATGATTTTTTTTTTTTTAATGAAAACCGGCTTGGGGCCGGGGAGATGGCTCAGTGGAATAAGCACTTTCCCGGCAAGTGCAAAGGCCTGAGTTCAATCCCTGGTTCCACCAAAAAAAAAAAGGGGGGGGGGCTGGAATGTACTTCCGTGCAAAGCCACTGGAAACATGTGACTTAAAACATTATAAAGTCCATAATTGTTTTAGAAGTACTCAGGACTGCCACACGCTTGACAAGGGCTCTATTCCGAGCTGTATTTCTAGCCCTGACTTACAATTATTTGATCCCTGCTTTCTTGACTTCATGATGCTGTAAAAGTGTACCCCCTGCCAAAAGCCCAAAGGCTCTGCGTTCAGTACAGTACTCAATAACCTACAAGATATTGAACAATTGGTACAAAATAGGCTTTGTGTTAGGTGACTTTTTCCAATACAGCTATGCTCAGCTGCTTCTAGGTTGGCAAGGGCCAGACAAAAGGCAAGAAGAAAATACTAGGAGCCCAGAGAAGACACACGGAGATGGCTAGAGATCAAGTGTAACAGTGGGGAAGTAGGACAAGGTGGCAGGCACCTATAGCTCCAGCACTTGGGAGGCTGAGGCAGGATTGCTACAAGTTCTAGGCCAGCCTGCTACTGGCCTACTTGGTGAGACCCTGTCTCAAAACACAGTGTGGAGCTAAGGTCTTCCAGCACACCAGACTCTAAAAGTCAGAGCTGAGAAAGGAAGGAGTGGGGAGGGAGAAAAGAAGGAGCAGGAGAGCAGCTGGGAGCTGAGCAGGTGGCCTCAAGAGCTGAAGGTAGGGTGCCATGGGGGATGACAGCACCCCCAGCAGTTACCCCTCCTAAAGGAAGCGTCCTCCCCAGCATAGCCTCACCTAGAAACCTCTGCACTCACCAGTACAAAAAGCTACAGGTTTATTAAATAAAAAGGAGGCAGAAGACATATAAGGGAACCAGCCAAACTCCTCCTTTCCCCTGCACAATCACAGACACACGCGCGCGCACGCGTGCGCGCGCACACACACACACACACACACACACACCCCAAATCAATGGACACTTGGTGCACACTGAAGGGCAGATGGAGGCAGCACCCTGCGGGAGTGGGCCCGGACCCAAGGGTGGGCTGAGACCTGGGACAGGGGCAGCCGTTCAGATGGATTATGCTTGAGTAGCTTGGAGATGAGGTCCTGAGCCCCTGCGGGCACAGAAGCGGGGAACTTCAGGTCTACCTGCAGGTGCGGAGAGAGAAGGGAGGGCTGTCTGTGTTGTTTTCCCAGAGTGTCCACCCTATTCAGGGACCCACGGGGGCCTGCAACCCACTCTGGCCACCCCCAGTCCCGCATCTACAGCTGACCAAGACCTGCATAGCCTCTCACCTTGACAATGCGCCAGTACGTCTCATTGTGCGAGGCACTCTCAAAGGGTGGGTTGCCCACCAGCAGCTCGTAGCAGAGTACCCCAATGCACCACAGATCCACCTTCTCATTGTGTGTGCGCCCCTCGATCATCTCTGGGGGGAGATAGTCCAGGGTGCCACACATTGTCTTCCTCCTGGGGAGATGAAGGAATTGGGCAGAGGCCCTGGGGCCAGATGGCCTCTCCTTCCCTGTTGCCTGATAGCAGGCACTGGGGTGTTCCAACCTCGGGGGTAGGGATGGATAAGGATGTGAACCCAAGTCCCGCGAGGGCCTGCATCTTACTAAGATAACTGGTAAACTGGGGCACAGGTCCACACTTGGAAGCTCAGGCCAAGGCGGGAGGATCACAGGTAGAAGGCTAGCCTGGGCAATCCTGAGCACAAGTTTTAAAGAAGAGACAAGGGTGTGGGTCAGTGGTAGGGTGCTTGCCTAAGATTTGGGCACCCCTGCATTCAGTCCTCAATACTGGGGGTAAAAAAAGAAAAAGAAAAAGTATACAGTGGAAGGGTAATGTTCATCTGAGAATTTTTGAGACAGGGTCTCCCTATGTAGTCCAGGCTGGCCTCAAACTCCTATTGATGCCTCCTGCCTCTTAAGTGCTGAGATGATAGGTATGCTTGGCCATTTTATTATTTATTTATTTTAGGGAAGGGTCTACAGGGTGTTCTGGGATCAGACCCGACTCATAGTGATTCTCCTGTTTACAGCCTCACAAGTGCTGGGATTACAGGCATGCGCCACCACTCCCAGTCTCAGTCGCCATTTTGGCACGCCCTGGTGGCAGGGCCAGCATGGCAGGCCCAAGAATGGAACCCCTGGCCCCTGCGCCTATTTGCAGGCACTTTAATCCACTGAGCTATTTGGCTGGCCCTTTGCTTTGCCATCTTAGAATTACTTATTTTTGGTGGTTTTGTTTTTGTTTTAAGGGCTCACCCCGTAGTTCTGGCTGGCCTTGAACTCACTATGTAGGTCCAGGCTGGCCTCAAACTCGTAGCAACCCCCTGCCTCAGCCTCCAGAGCGCTGGGATTAAACCCCGGTGTCTCTGGGGACCCAGACTCGGAGGGGGTTTGTGTGGACCTGGATAGCGCTCTCAGGACTGGTTTCCTGGCTCCCCGTACCTCAGGGAGGGGGCATGCACGGACCAGCCGAAGTCAGCAATCTTCAGCTCCCCCTGGAGCCCTAGGAGCAGATTCTCGGGCTTTATGTCTCTGTGAATCACCTTCTTCCCGTGGCAGTATATCAAAGCATCCGCCAACTCCTCCATGATCTGAGGACCAAGACCAAGCAATCAGGCTGCCACTACACGCAGCACGGCCCCAGTTTCCAGCCCTCCCTGTGGCACCCCCGGTGCCCACCCGCCCCGACCGTGGCTGTCCGCTGCTCGTCAAAGGTGCGGCTCTTCTGCAGCTCCTTGTAGAGCTCCCCACGAGGGGCGTACTCCAGAATCAAGTAGATGCGCCGACGGTCATAGAAGTAGTTGTAGAGCCTCAGGATGTTGGGGTGCCTGAAGGAAGACAAAAGGGTGCCTCAGGCAACAACTCCAAGGAAGCCGGGGAAGATGAAGAGACCTAAGGGGAAGTGGAGGTCAGGAGGCAGGGACTGATGCTGGGGAGGCTCACTGGCCACAGCTGTGCAGACAGCAGCCTGCGTATCAGGGTGCAGCAAGGGGCTGAGGAGGAGGGCAGAGGGGCTCAGGTTTGGGGGAGACACACGTACTGCAGGTGGGCCTGGATCTCAATCTCCCTCCGCAGCTGGTGCTCCACGCCCTCCTTCTCGATCTGAGACTTGAAGAGGACCTTGAGCGCCACGATGAAATGGCTTTTCTTCTCCCGAGCCAAGTATACATTTCCGAATTTGCCTTTGCCCAGGGGACGCCCAATTTCAAAGTCATCGATGGTGAGGGGCCGCCTGATCAGAAGGGGGGAGGAGTAGCTCAGTGCTGGCTAGTTAGTCCTCCTAGACACTTGCTTCCACCCCACTCCTTCCAACCATAGGCTTGACATCCCGGGTTTTCTCTCCCTCCACCCTTCCAGCACCCTCTCTCCACCCCCAGGCTTGGGCACTTACAAGAATTTGGGCACCCCACTGCTGTTCTCCACTGCCTTCTGGCCAGCGACAGCTAAGGGAAGCGCAGGTAAGTTGTGGTCCTCCCACACTGGTCCCCTCTGGTCAGCCCTGTCCTTAGCCCAGTTACCTGAAGACTGGCTATTGGAGCGGTTCATGAGGACAAGCGTGGACGAGGTGGGAGGCTCCTTCCGCAGAACTCTCTGGGGCAGGGTACTCAGGCCTGATTGAGACTGGGAAGAAGCAGGAGGGGGCTCTGAGAGTGCCTTTGTCCTGGTGACCAGAGTGGAATGTGCTGCAAGCGGCATTTCCGCCACTTGGTAGAAAGCCACCCACCCTTTATTCCAAGAAAAATACCAAGCAAGCTTCTGCTCACTGAGGACTGCTAATCAACAAAGGACTTGGTGCCACACATCACACTTCACCTCTGCTTTGGGTCTACACTACCTTCTCAGGCATGTAGCTGCTCAATCTGTACACCTCTGTCCCTATCTCGTTATCCTCCTAGCCCCCATCTCAGGGGACAGTGGATACCCACAATTCAAAGAGTTTAGCACAGGGGCATTCTCAAAGTCCCTAAAAATGCTCTGGCCATGTCAGTTTGATTAGTGCCCTTAAGGCCTTAAATGTTAAAGCAAACACCAATATTTAACACTTTGCTGCAAAAGATTATTTAGGGACACCAAGGGCTAGTCTGTTGGCTTCGGACTACTTACTTGTTCACTTTCATGTTTTCTGGATAAAAGACTCAGTTCTTTTCAGGAGTGACCAAGGTAAAAGTGAGATGGGGTCCTCATTCAGATTCCCCTTGCCAGCCTCACTAAGTGCTCCAGAATGGAGGGAGCTGATTAGGCCAGGGAACCAATGGACTCCTGGGGCTAACTAACCCCATAAGAGAGCAGGGCTCTTTCTTCAGCTAAGATTAGAAAGCCCCAGGCTCCCCCCCCCCAACATCTGTTCCCTTCGATTTGCAGATTAACAACCAAACTAAACAAAACAGTCCAGGAAACATATGGGGGATATATCAGTTTTTTCTTTCTTTCTTTTTTTTAGGCACCGCTGGATGTGGTGGCACACACCTGTAATCCCAGCACTCAGGAGGCTGAGGCAAGAGGGTTACTGTGAGTTGGAGACCAGCCTGGGCTGTGAGTTCAAGGCCAGCTTGAACTACAAAGCAAAACCCTGTCTCAAAAAATATATAAATAAAATATATATGTAAATAAATAAAAATAAAAGCATTATTTCAAGTCAGAGGGTAGAATACTCAATGGAAGGCATTTTTATAACTGGAAAATAGATTTGGATCTTTACACCAGTTATTAAAATGAATCCTAGAGCTGGAAGTGTAGCCTGCGGCGGAGCACTTACCTAGCATGCAGAGGCTTTGGGCTTGATCCCTTCCCTGCCCCCAAACTAAATTCCAAATGATTAATTCAGATTTGTCCTGGACCTATTCAACAGCAACGTTATCTATATTCTTCCAGAGTCTACTTCTGCCCAGTTTATCTTCTCAGGGTAAGGGCTGGGAACCATGGCCTGAAGGCCAGACCCTGACTGCCCCGTCCAGGATATCATTTGTATGTCACAGGTGGGCTCGGTCCTGCAGCTGTTCTCCAAAGCTGAAGTCACTGTTCAGATTGGTAGCATCTGACTGGATATGGCTGCGCAGGTCGAGACCGGCTCTGTAGCAAACTAGGGTCCCTGCTAAGAGCCTGATGGGCAGAACTGCCCGTAGGAGAGGAGGCGGGGCAAGTGGGAAGGGCCTTACCGGCTGCCGGCCATAGGGCCAGGGGTAGGCGTTCTCCTTCTGGGCCATCCTCAGAGAGAGGGGGAGGAGAGCTGGGCGAAGAAGGCAAAGAGCTGTGAGATGGGGGGGAAAGAAAAAAAAAGGACGAGAGGGAAGTAGAGATCAGACCGATCTAACCGGAAGCGCTATCCTCGGGCTGGGGAAAGGGGGCGGTCAGCCGACTGGCCTGGGTCTGGGAGTCGCCGGGACTTGGTCTTCCCCGCGCCCGCCCTGCTGCCTCTCCCACCCATCTCTAGGACCCCCCACTCCCACCCTTGAACGCGCAGCACACGGTGGGGTGCGCGCGGGCCGGCCCAACGGACCCCCGACCTGCCCGATCGCCCGCGAAAGGAGATCAAGCAGGGTCAGCCGCGAAGAGCAGCTCACCTGGAGCCTAGAGCCCGCAGCCCAGCTGCCGCGCCGCTCCCGCTCCCCGCAAGCTGGCAAGTTCGCCGGAGCCCGTCCCCGCCCAGACACTTTCAAATCTCCCGCCCCGCTCCCATTGGCTGGTGCGCCGCCCGATGCGCGATCTCCATTGGCTGGACACCGTGACGTCATCTCAGAGACCCAATAGAGGAGGCAGGATGTGACCCGCCGCACGCGCCGTCCCAGGCTCCCGAGTCAAGGCCTTATTTTTAGAAAGTTTAATATGGCCAGAGTTTGTTCTTAAGCACGCAAGAAGTAGGGTTTATATTTGTTGTCTGCCAGGCAGAGACCAGTTGTGCGAAGACCATTTGTTAAACTGCCCCTTTCTTATCAGAATTTAAATGCTGCCCTTAATAAAATCTCTAAATACAATCGTCTTTTCGCTGTCTTTGTGGGGGGGATTCGCTCCAGAACTCCACGGATACCAAACACTGTTGGTGCTCAAGTCCCTCATAAAATGGCATAGTATTTGCCTGTAACCTAGGCACATCCTCCCATATACTTTAAAGTTTTTTATTTTCATTTTTTTAAACTTACATACCTTAAATCATGACCTTGCTGAAAACATGTCGAGGATAGAGTGTATGGGTGGAATACTTTTCAGAGATCCAGTACAATATCCCTAGAATCTTTAAATTTCTACCTGCACTTCTTGGCAAAAGATTTTGGGCCTTTTAGAAATACTTGATGGGCCGTATAGGATTGGCATTTGCGCCTTTCAAGAAACAAAAGCAAAATCTATCACAGCTCCACATGCCTGACAGCTTAGCGAACAAACTGTTCTCTACTCACATTCCCAAGTGATTTAATGAAATCTTGAATATTTTCTTTTTAAAAATGCTTGATTTTATTGAGAAACATAGCAATGAAAGTTTCAAAACCGATTAGTAGGACAGTTTCAATAATTAATATATTGCATATTGTCCTCATAGTGGTTATTCATAGTACAAGATGCAGACATGATATCCTGTCCAAACTATCGAATATTTTCAATCTGCTACAAATCAATACTTCTATGAAATACAATACAAGCTGGTTGTGTTAATGGATTCCTGTACTTCCAGCACCTAGGGAAACTGAGGCAGGAGGATCGCAAAAGTTTGAGCCCAGCTTGGGTAACTCAGGGGGACCTTGTCTCAAAATGAAATTTTGAAAAGTGCTGTGGATGTATCTTAGTGTGAAGGCCCTGGTTTGAATCCTGTCTCAGTTACTTTTCTCTTGTGGCTGAGACAAAATACTCGACACCCAGAATTAAGGAAGGAAAGGTTTGTTTAGCTCACAGTTTGTGGAGGTTTCAGTCCATACTCAGCTGGCTGCAGCGTAGAGAGGCACATGGCAGAGGACAGCGGTTCATGGCAGCAGAAAACAGCTAAACAGCAACAGCAATAAAACAGGAGCAGGGCGAAGAGCAAGCCTCTCCCCCTTCCTTCTACTGTGTCCAGGCTGTCTGCCGCAGGGCAGGTGTGGCACTCACACCCATAATCCCAGCAGCATTTATACCCACCCATAATCCCAGTATTAGAATTAATCACAACCTCTAGAAGTCCACCCCATGGCTACATGAGGCTTTAGGGGGACAACTAGACACAAACCATAACAAATCCACAGTATTGCAAAAACAAAGCAATGCAAATGTATTCCTTAGAAAATTAAATCTAAAAAAATAAAAAATTACAAGACCACATCTTTCTTTTTTAATTAATTTTATTGAGAAACAAATAGCAATGAGACAGTTTCAAAATTGATTAGTAGGACAGTTTCAGTAATTAATACATTGCATATTGTTGTCTTCATAGTAGTTATTCATAGTACAAGATGCAGACATGATATCCTGTCCAAATACATCTGTCCAAATAGTCAATATATATGAGTGATCTGATGAATGCTATAAGAATTCTTATATACTTATCCTAAACTTTTACATTGTCCTGGGCCAATGTGGACCACACTCTGAGTGCCACCTATCTATACTGAGAGCAATTAAGTGCAACTCTGTTCAAAATTATGTTCTGTTCTCCTGGATCAGGCATACTTAAAATTCAAATTCACTCTCTTGGAAGTATGCTTTATTCTTGTGTGACTACTACTTTGTTCTTAAAAGATTTTTTTTTTTTTTTTGTCCTTAAAAGTATTGGGGATAGAACCTAGCACCTCTGCACTGACTGCATTCCCAGCCTTCATTCTGACCCTTCACTGGTTGTTTTGTTTTGCTTTGCTTTGTTTTGTGCACTTTATACATCAGGGTGGTGGCATTTTGTAAGGGCAGCCTGAGCAGACCCAGGCAAATTTTAAAACAAGTGAGGCTGGACATGGTGGCACATGTCTGTGATCCCAGGCATAATCCTGTCTTAGCTCACATTTGGGAGCTAAGACAGGAGGATTTCTCTGAGTTTGAGGCCCTCAGTAATGAAAGTTTGGATCACAGCAGGTAAAGAACACAACCAGGCTGGAGGGGTATGCACACTTGTAGTCCCGGCTACTTAGGAGGCCAGAGAGTATCCTTATTTTGTTATTAATACATATATGCTTGTGTATGTGCTAGTAAATGTGGACCAAAAGAAAGAAAAGTGTCATTTTGCATCTTCTCGTTAAAATAACGAGTGCAAGCAGGGCTTGGGTGGCCAGTGTGCCTTAGGCGACCCGTCATAAGCAGATTCACAATTCCTGCAAGGGTGGCTTGGCGGCAAGGGTCATCCACTGTCTATCTCTGTCTTGGTACAGGAGACACAGGGATGGCTCTGGCGGATGGGGGAGGATGAGGCAGGCTCAAACCTGGTGGGCAGCTACTGTGTGGACAGGGGCAATGACCCGGGCCCCTCGCCAGCCACCCTAGTTTCTCACAGTAGCACGGCCAGTACTGAGTGGAGGAAAGATGTCGAGGGAAGAAGTTTCCCATTGGGAAAAACAATGCCTTTCTGAGTGTGTTGTGGGGAGAAAAGAAGTGGATGACAGCCTGGATTTCTTTGTATTTTCTCAGATAGCTGAAGCAGCAAAAGTACCTGTGATTCCAGGCTTCTAGGGGCTGCTGAAGAATCCAGTCAAAGGCAACGATTGTATTTAACACCTTTGTGTCCCACAGCAAGCTAATCAGAGACAATGAAAAACACTTTAAAAAAAGAAAAACCACATAAAACAGTTTTGTCTCTAACTCTGACTACAAGAAACCAGCACTGGAAAAAAGTAATGAAAAAAGAAAAAAGAAACAAAGATGGCTTTTGCTTGAAGGAGGCACACAGCCCCTTGGAAGACAGCACCATCAGAAGTGCAGCTAAGGAGAACTTCAGCTGGGAACCAAAGTTTCAGGAATTTATGCCACAGATCTAATTCAATGAGGATAAAAACATGCACAATGATGCTCTTGGAAACATTTATTTATTTATTTATTTATTTATATGGAACGTTTCACAAATTTGCATGTCATCCTTGCGCAGGGGCGGTGCTAATCTCTGTATAGTTCCAATTTTAGTATATGTGCTGCCGAAGCGAGCACGGGAACACTTTAAATAGTTTAAATAGTAAGAAAAAATGCAGATTATCAGAAAACTAAAATGTCTAACTTTAGGGAAATTGCTGTAATAATTTATAGAACTATCAAAACTTTTAGGTGGTCAGTAAAATTATAATTTAGGACTATAGAATTATATTTCTGTTATACTACTGATAAAAGTAAATTAAATTGCCAAAGAGAAAAGTATTTTAGGATAATGATTATAAATGAGAGTTATTGCTTTAACAAATAATTATTACTACATTCTACATTCTTTCTAATACGGAATATATATATATATATATATATATATATATATTGCTACAAATGCATTCTCTGAAGAAAAGTTGCAGATAGTCCATTAACAAATTTTATTATGGCAGCCCAGCCAAACCATCTGAGATTAAAGGTGTTACTGTTTTAATCTGTCGATTTGATGGAAACAGCAAAATAAAATAAAAGTGCCCTAGTATTTTAGGAGACATTCAGTGCCTTGAGGGGGTGATCACAGAAAACAAAAGTCTTACTTTTCCCAAAAAAAAGTCTCTATAAAAAGGAGACTTAGAAGTCTCCAGCTAAAGTGGTTTTTAAAATAGAAAAGGCAAACCTTTGACCCCGACGTGATTTGAACACGCAACCTTCTGATCTGGAGTCAGACGCGCTACCGTTGCGCCACGAGGCCTCCCCGAAGTTAGCGCTTGGCAGATTTCGTGAACAGATGCCTCGTCAGCAGTAAGGGGCGGAGCTTGGCGTTCAGATCCCGCCTCGGAGCCGCGCGCGGTGTTGCGGGCGGTCCAGAGTGTCCGCGCATGCACCGGGAATTAAACTCACGTTCTTGGTAAACTACGAAAAGATACAAGTGGCGCGAAGGTATATTTAGCTTATTAAAGCTCATTTCTTTAACCTTGTCAGTTCATTCAACAGAGTAGCGATTTCTGTGTTTTGAACTTTTGGGGAGGACGTCCCCTCGGTGTCACTGTTGTCCGCCTGCATAAATCTTAAACTTAATCTCAGCTTGGCTGGTGACTCAGTAGCGCCTTGTTTCGCTTCCCTGGAGCTCGGTTCCTCATTCTTAGGTTGGGGATAGTCCGGAACTGTCGGGCGGCAGGAGCAGCATTTCTAGCGGTGGCAGGAGTCCGGCCCCGCTCAAACGTCCACGCTCGGAAGTGACCGCCGCCTGGGCTCGGCTCGACCTTCTGAGCTGGCGGCTACTGCCCGACTCAGTCCACATCCAGGTAGATTGAGAAAGCAGATTAACGAAAGTCAGTCTTGAATAAGAGCATGAGAGAAAGCTGCACATCGGCGTTGGTGGTATAGTGGTGAGCATAGCTGCCTTCCAAGCAGTTGACCCGGGTTCGATTCCCGGCCAACGCAGCAGTCTTTTTCCCACTTGTTCCTAGACCCCGGGCTTGGTGGGTTGAAGGCTGTCATGGGGAGCCTCCCGCTCCGAGGGGTCCGGCCTCTTACTTTTCCTGAATCCGGGCTTCCGCCACCCTCCTCCTGAGCGAGGTTCCCCGCGGCAATTTTCGCCCAGCACGGCAGAGGCTTTGCGGATGGAGGGACAAGCCCACGGACACGGACACAGACACAAGAAGGGGAAAATGAAGCCCTAAACCCAGCTTCGCTACGGGGACCGGAAATGGGGGTGTCACAGCTTGCCGGCGCGGACAAAGCTGCACGCTGCGACTGGAAACGCCCGCGCTGCCAGCCTGGGTAGGAGGTGGGAGGCTGAGCGCCAATCACGTGGGCTGTTTGACGTCGTTGGTTCTTTTTTTAAAATCTGTGTTTTGTAAATTATCGTCCACAAACACTTCTAGGAGAGTAATGAGCTGCTCCTTAAGTGGCAATTTGTTCGCACACTCAGTTCTCACTTGAAGGTTCCACTCCGGTGGTCAGTTAAGAAATGGGATTTAATGTATTTATATAAATGAGGTTTAATGGATTTATATAAAGCCAAGAAAAGAGCTAAAATGCAAACCTCCCCGTCGGGGAATCGAACCCCGGTCTCCCGCGTGACAGGCGGGGATACTCACCACTATACTAACGAGGAGCGAGCTAGACATATGCTTCTCCGGATCCCTGATCAAGCTGAGAGGTACCGTAGCTGGTGCTCAGCATGCTAATTTAGTGTGGGTTGCTTGAAGATTTTCTTCTCAACCGGCGAGAAATACTATCCAATACAGAAACCAATTACACATTTTTCGACAGTAAGTGAAGGCGAGTCCCAGAAAAGATGAAACGAGTAGGAGTAACCGAAGCAGAGGGAGTGCGGAAACCCGAGTTCTGAATCCTTCGCTGGCCAGGCACGGCTCAGACAGCTCCCAGCTGCAACCACCAGCAGTTATCCACAACTGGAGGTTGCCCAACATCAAACAGACTGAAACCAACGCTGGAGGCTACAGCGAGGACCAAGCAGGGAGACAGGGATCAGAGTAAGTCTTAAAGAAGACGGGTCGCACCTGTGTTCTATCTAGCACGCCCGGAGAGACTGCTCTCTGAGCTTCTCTGCGCCACCAGGATATTTTTTTTTCAGAACAAAAGAGTTCATCAAAAGTAGTTAACACTGATCTTTATCCTATATAGCTTCCAGACCCTCTGTGACCCACGCTCTAAAAATAAAAACCGGGCTCGTCCGGGATTTGAACCCGGGACCTCTCGCACCCGAAGCGAGAATCATACCCCTAGACCAACGAGCCGACATGTGGTGCTAGCCGCGGATACTCTTAGAGGTCGTACGACATTTGCTGTGCTCCTTAGGCCATCACGAGCGGTGGGAATGCCCTGGAGCACTTCAGGGAACACCCTCCCCACCGCTGAATACTGTACCCTAGAGCATTTGCTTAGGAATCTCTGGACCACTAACTCTATATAGAAACTCCACCCAGGACATAGTGTGGAGGAAGTGGGAGGGAATGGTCTGGGTCTGTCTCCAGGGCCACCTTTCTGGAGTAAGTTGCCAGATTCCTGTTGCCTGTGGCGAGGGGTCCTGCGCACTAGCTTTGCCTGGGGTCTCCACGTTCCCCTCTCTCAGCCCTCAGACCTAGTCCTGCAGTGAAGACCTTCCTAATTTCAGGAAGGCTTGGAACACTCAAGAGTCCAGAACTCCCTAGGTGAACACCACCCGCCTAATGGGCACTGCAACACTGGGGTAACTGTCATGGGTGTCAATAGCCTACGGTTTCCCCACACCACTTGACAGTGCCCTGCTGAAAGACAAAGATGATTCTTCCTGTGGCCAAAAAAAGATCTGAGGTGGAGATGTTCCTGAGAAGTGTGGCTGGTAGAGTAGAGGAGGGGTCCTGTTTTTCCTACAGAGTAGGGTGAAGTCCAGCCAAGATGGTGCATGACCCCTGACATCCCTGTGGAAACTGATGCCCAGCTTCCAGCCTGTTAGAATCAGGTTACTCCTACAAGGGGTGTAGCCTCAGCTCCCAGCTCCCGCTAGGTCCGCCCAGGAGACCTTCCTCCAGGCTGCCTAAGAACCTCAGGAGGCGAGGGGCTGGTCACATGAGTGTAGCCCTAGGCCAGTAGGCCTAACTTTGAGGCCATCAGCTGTCCCCCAAGTTGGTGTGATGGACAACAGCGAGCCTCTAAGCTCTGAGAATACGTATCACACTTGTACTTCTAAAAGTTCCAAAAGCTTTCAGCGGTGTGACCTGGCTTCCGGAATGGTGAATTACACAAGTGGAATTTGGCGTTTGATGGTCAGTTATGTGGCAAAAAGGATGAGAATTTAAGGTCCTAAGCATGAAGCCACCAGCCATGGGTATACAGGTTCTCGGGAAAGCCTGAAGTGGAAATGGGTCTCACAGTGCAGCTCAGGCTGTCCTTGAGCTTCCTTTGTAGCTCAAGCTGGTCATGAACTCAACATTGTCCTGCCTCAACCTACCGAGTACTGGGATTACAGCTGTGTGCCAGCATGCCTGGTGTAATTGGTCTGGCTTAGCTGGACCAGCTTTGCTTGAATAATTACACATCTGGATGGCTTGCTTTGGTCCAGAATTTGCAGAGCTTATGAAGGTACTTGGAGTTGCCATGGCTGTGATGTATCATGGGAGAAGTTTTCAGGAAAGAATCAAGAACTAAAGATAAACAAGCCAGGTTGCGCCCATCTACTGGACAGGTTGAGGCAAGATGACTTGAGCTCGAGTTCAAATAATGCAGGAAGACAGAACTTCCCTCCCAAAGGAACTCATGACTGAGGAGATGGAGGTAACCCTTCCTTGTCCTCATGTCTTCAAGGGCTATGGCATGGCATCAGTGGGCACAGTTTATCCTTACAAAGGCAATCAGATGGATGTTCACTGAAGAGAAGGTTAAAGATGCCAATTTTAATAAATTTGTGTGAACTATCTGGAAAAAAAATAAAAAATAATAATAAAAAAAATAAAAGTTCCAAAAGATTTGGTGGAGCTGGGTATCGTGGTGCACACTTGTAATCCCAACCCAGAAGGATGCCTGTGAAGTTAGCCTGGGCTATTTAAGGCCAGCTGAAATATATAGTGAGACACTATGTTCCCCGTTATTCTCTTTTGTGAGAAAAAAATCAGATGGACTCAACTTGTAACCTGCCCCTGGAAGTCCTTCCCCAGGCGTCTGACTGACAGAGGCCCTGTCCTGGGCTGAGTGAACCATCGTGCTCCATGGCCAGTCCACAGACAGTCACGAAGCTTGTAGAACTGGGCCCTTCCCGACACGCAGACACTAATAGGTAGGATTCTGACAAGCCCTTGCTTTCTGCTTGTCTCATTCTCAGCTCAGGCGTCTCTAGGCAAACAGTCTCATCAGGATCGTAGTCTTTCAGATGGATACCACAATAGGGAGGATTTCAATGAGTTTAATTTTTGACTTTTTTTAAATTCACACATATTTGTTGTACATACTGATCACATTCATCATAGGGAACCTGTATAATATATCCTGATTCTTTTTTTCCCATTCCTCTCCTTTCCCTTCAACCCTTCATCCCCTCTCCATTTACAAAAGCTTTGTTACCAATTTTCCCCTTCTGTTCTTTTTTCCCCTTTCCCTTCTTCACTCCTCACACTTGTTCCCCTTACCATTAGAACAGGCACTTCCTACTTCCTAGTCTCTGTCCCATTCTGTGCTCCTCACTAACCCTTTGGATTTCTCACATAAGAGAAACTATGCAGTGTTTAAACTTGTGTGTCTAATTTATTTCACTTAAGATTATAGTCTCAAGCAGCATCCATTTTCCTAAAATGACTCAAGTTTTTCTTTATGCGAGAGTAATACTCCATTGTATATAAATACATTTTCTACCAGATATGGTGGCACATGCCTGTAAACCCAGCACTCTGGAGGCTGAGATATGAGGATTTCTGTGAGTTCAGAGCCAGCCTGAAC